ACAGATCGTAAAGGAAATCGGAAGGTACAATCGCCCCGTTCGCACAGAGTCACTGGACAAATAAAAAACAAAACAGAACTTGTTGCACATTCTTAATGATCAGACTGAATCTGTGGGTCAGCATGGTAGCCAGGCAATTAGTTTCTTCTTATGAAAAGGTCAGCAATGGCAGAGTCCATATTTCTCTTCTTATAGGATTGTCTTTAAGTACAAATGTCAAATGCAGTCTTAAAAATTGTGCAGGCTTACAGGAAAGAATTATATTAGCTTACTTGTTTTAATTACTTATTTGGAGGTTGACCCTTCCTTTTGAGATCGGGGGTAAAATGTCTTGCAGCTGCTTTCCTGTTAGCTGCCTGACCATGTAAACTGTATTCCAGCTTCCGAGTGCACATAACAGTGTCAACATTCCTCTTTACTAAAATGCTCAGTGTGACACTGTTAGATATTATCATTGTGTGAGATTAAGCAGCTGATCTGGCAGCACTATCAGTTTTTAATCATCCTTTCACCCCCGACTTTTAAACTGAAGAGTTAAACTAAGGTTGCCAAGATTCCCCAAACCCCCCCATCAACGTTAGAGAAATGCCGGTACAGAGCTACTGGCTTCACTGATTGGCTTCTGGACCAGCTCCTCCAGTCGAATAAAAAATGTGATTGGAGGGATGCCGACAGGGCCATACACTGCTCAAAATTTGAGCAGTGCATGGCCAACGTCAAACAGAGTTACTAATGAGGGGCAAATAGATTTTTTTCCTAAAGTATAGTAAAAAGCCAAAACACTTTTTGACAATTTTAAAAAGGAGTAGGGAAGTGCGGAAATCCCTTTAAAGCTTACCATATATGTTACAATCTGACCGCAAAACCTTTGTGCAATCAACTTTAGGTTTATCAAAACTATGTAATACGAGGACCTATCTAACCTATCCAATCAATTCATATCCAGCCAGGCAGGCCCTTGCACAACATAGTTCTAGGTAGATCTAAAGCTGGCCATACACCTTACAACCATCGCACGACTTTCATTGTGCGATGGTTGTAAGGTCATAAAAATCTCGTACGATCTGCCCATCTTGGACAGGCAGATCATACTTGCGATCATAGCAAGCCCTTCCCCGCGAAGGGGAGGGCTTCCGATGATTGCAGTGCCGAGCGGGGAGTGTGCGCTTGCGCACACTGGCCCGTGCGGCATTCGTCTTCCGACCACGCCACCAACCCGCCGAAAATCGTACAATTTTTGCCGGGTTTTCAAGCGTGCTCGTAAGAGGAAAGTCGAACGACCTCACAGTAGAAGTGGCCGCACGCTGCCCATACACCTGCCGATTATCGTACGATCGTGGGATCACCCGCTATTGTACTATAATCGGCAGGTGTATGGGCACCTTAAAAGGAGATTGTACAATCAGATTAAAACATGTGGGGTGAGCAGTAGACATATTGCTGTCTGTGTTTTCAGTTTGGAGATTAATTTGTCTCGGTGGCCAATGTCATTGAGATAGAAAGTCATGGGAAATACAACATTTTTCAGTTGCCCAGTGAAATTGAAAAAAAGGACATTTTAAGTAAGCCTGCGCAATTATAATAGCATAAGACTAAGGCTCACTATACACGTTACAATTTGAGTATACAACCTCTGCACAACCCACTTTAGATTGATCAAAACTAGGGATGCACCGATACCGAGTATTTGGGCAAGTACCCATACACCTACCCCCAATACCAGAACTTCCAGTCAGAGAGAGACTTCCTCTGACCAGCAGTGCCGCTAAGGGAACATGGAGCTGGCATCCCGGGCAAATAGGAAGCCGGAAGGCAAGTATTGGCTCCAAGTTGTTTGTTCGATGCTGACTGGCTGGGAAGCCGGCATGGAGTCAGCTTCCAGGGCAATCAAGAAGCTGGGCGGCGAGTAAGGATTCTTGATTGCCTGGGAAGCCAGCTCCATGCTAGCGGAAGTACCGGTATTGGTACTCCGTATCGGCGAATACCGAAATATAAATATCGGTACTCTATACCGAAAAAACGGTATCGGTGCATCCCTAATCATAACTATGTAATATAAGGATTTACCTTATCTATCCAATAAATTTATATTCAATCAGGCAGGCCCTTGCACTAGATACTAGTTGGTACATCAAAAGGAGATTGTACAAACAGATTGCAACATGTGGGGAACTTTATTATTCAGACTGTAGCCTAGGCTCAGGTTTGACCAATCCTCCTTCAGTTAAAGTCCTGGTTCTGCCATTCCTTGCCATGGTAGCGTGAGTATACAAAGTAAAACTGGTAATTTGTGATGTTGTCTTATATGTTTACAGATCTGCCTAATATTTATACAAACTGTGAAAACTCAGCAGAATTATGCAAACAACATAGAAACGGAAAAAATTCTCTGATTGAAAAAAAACTAAAAACTTTTTCACGTATCACTAAGTTTGTTATGTGTAAACGTTATCTGCGTTGTCATCATCAGCCACAGTAAATCCAGATTCTAATTTTGAATGTCACAATGTTCGAATCGATGGATGAACACCCGGTGCGGCTTCAACAGGTAGCTTTAATAATAATGGATTTATTTCATGTAAAAAAACAATAAGCTCCTAGGAAGAGTCGCTCTGGCTCATTACCGTTTGATGTAGCTTGTTGTTACACTTCAGTGGAGAAAAGACTGCTTGCTGCAGCAATGAATTAGGATGTTTAATCTTAAACAGAACATATTACTCCATGGTTTGCACAGAGAAAGGAAAACGCTAATTAATACTGCATCACAACCTGCTGTCGTGTGAGGGTATAAGTGTACACAATAGATTGACATGAACTGCCACTGACTTCTAAAGGACAGTCAACAAGGGAATCACTGGTTTAACGCTTCTGATGCTGGAGGCTCGGTGACGCCTCTTCCTTTGAAGCATCATTAGCCACTCTGCATATCAGCAAAGGCAAGGGTTAATCAGCAAGGGGGTGGGGGGGAAATAAACCAGTTTTAAAAAACATGAGCCAGCTCCAAGCTCCCACACTGTGTCTGGGAGGCTCTGAGGGTGTTTTCCTTGCAATAAAATCCACTTCTGCTGGCCAGTGCAATGTGGTACAGAAGCACCAGTCCTTAACCACTTCAGTGCCAGAGGCAAGCGTTAACTCCTGCAGCGCTGGACCCAGGAGAAAAATCTCCACCTGCAGTAATGGTCCAGTAAAGATTTCCATACACAAGTATTAATATTATTATACAGGATTTGTAGAGAGCCAACGTTTTGCGCATCGCTTTACAAAGTACGGTTACAATGCAATTCAATACAAGAGGATTAGAAGGGCTTTGCTCGTGAGAGCTTACAATCTAAAAAAGAACTGCCATTTATCACTGGCAATATACCCAGTTTAACATAAACCCTTATGTATCATTTTACTATGCAAAAGAACAGACCGGAGCGCCATAACTGGAAGCAAATCAATCTAGTTGAGCTAGTTAGAAATTGTCGAGTTGATCGTGCATCTAGGTCAGTGTATGGAGCGGTCTGCCAAAGTCTGATCGCAATTTAAAATCCACAGGCACAAATAGGTTGAAGGAAGCAGCTGATGATAAAACCAAGACAACTGTCCCTATCCAGTACATTATTATATTACTTAAAAAAGAAATTCATACAACAAGTTGCTGCGAAGGGGATTATCTGGTAAAATACCAACTGCCTACGAGCCATCGAATGATATAAAACAAGAAATAAAGACAGGAAGTACAGTAACACATCAAGAATGGAGAAGTCATGCAGATTGTCAGGAATAATAGCAAATAAAGCGCATGTCTCTGCACTGCAGTTAAACGCCTGCTGCTGTATTAATTCCCAGTGACACCCCGGTGACCTCTGACCTGCATAGAACAGCAACAAATGAAGTAATTCTGGTTATTACTGTGTAATGGGAGCTGTGAGATTAATAGGCTGCATGCAACACTCCCAACCCATTCAAGCTGGGCAAGTGGAATATATGTGATCGGAGTCTTTGAATGACACTCAGTACTCTTGTACAGTGCAACACAGCTCTGAGCATGTTAACCTTTTCCAT